GTTTACATACCATGAAGAGCCTATGAGAAGTCATAAAGGGCCATCTGTATTTTGAAATGTGGTTTGGCTTCACTGACTTTAGAATTTGACAGATTTGAAGTTAAATCCCAGYTCTTCCACTCATTAGCTTCCTGACTTGAGCCTTTTAAACTTCTAAAACTTCCCAGGCCTTGTCTGCTGGCCTTATACATCTCAGGGTTATTGTGAGAATCAAATGAGACAAATGTGTGTAGAGATTATCTTGTTTTCTGGCAAGTAGTCATGTAAATTATCATTTTATTATTGTCCTGCCAATGGGAAATAGAAATCTGTCTTCTTTTCTATTGTRCCAATGTGGGTTTGGAGCAGGGGTTCATGAGGTTGCAGAGTTAGGAACATGAACGTTTACTAAAGAAGCAAAAACAAGATGAAGTTGACCAAGTTACATAGTACCTGTCTCCATAATGCTGGATGTCTAGTTTGCATTTAGTGGCAAGTAGAGGCTGATATCACCAGTGAAGTTAAATCCACAGCATTGACACCCAGTAAATCACCTCTTGCTGTGGGGACTCTAGCAGTGACAAGCAGTATGGGACAATAAATGCTACAAGGTGAGACACAGAAGCCTCCTTGGGAGAACAGCCAGCACTGTGCAGTGCCTCCCACCCCCATCAAATGTTTGAGCCCAGACTTTCTGTCGGGGTATCTGCAGCGGGAAGGTTGTTCWATTCAAGGTCCCTAAGTCAGATTCTGAATCTATGATATCTGTATTTATAATGCCTTAAGACTGTATTTACATAAAACATAATCATCTTACAAGTGAAACACACTACTAAAAATCAGGAATAATTACTAAGGCCACTTTGAYTTACATGGGAAAATGCTCAAGTTTAATATTTTTAAAATTTACTCACTACCCAAACAGCTGCTATATTCGGAATAAGGGAAAAAGCAAGATGCATTTCTTATCAAAAAGAAGAATTTGAGGTTTTTTTTCTTGGAACTTAAAATGTTCTGGTTATACCATATCTTTGAATTTWTAAAAAACAGTATCAAATACTGTTTAGATAGTACTTTTTTTTCTTCTTGCTTTTTGACTGATTACTCCAGGCAACAGTGCTGTGAGAAAAGTTGCTACCTGGCACTCCGTGTAGACAGGGAATCAAGCTCCACGGGACAGCAGCTGGCTTATGGGGCAGGAYCCACTCTGGCACCAATAGTCAGGAACATTGATTAGCTGTTTGTCAGTGCCTGGGTGCCATCTGCCTGCTCAAAGAGGAAGAAGGAGAAGGAACTCCTACTGTTCTCAGGATGRCTGGCTTCCTGATGCCTCTCTGCCTGGAAATGGATCGCAACATGGTTGTGTGGTTAGCAGTGATACTGTGTCCTTAAAGAAATCAGTTCTTTTGAAGACCTATTAAAATAACTTCATAACTATCTTACTCTTTTTTAATTCTTTCATGGTGTCAAAGTGATTAATTCGATAGCTCTTTAAAARAATTATAAAACATTTTTAAAAAATTATCACCTGTTTTCAGTTTCACCATATTATCTCCAGCCTCAGTGCTAACTCAAAGCCAAACAGCCATTTAGCTCTGAATACATACTGGCTCTCCATACAGATGTGTGCTAATGCACATTTGTGTGTTTATATATGTCGCTCATTTCTCAAGTCCTGGAAAGTCTCCACCATTTCTCCATGTTCCGTAGTTAAAGCATATGTATCCAGTAGGTAGTCATTAGTTGCAAGCTGATGATGAACATAATAGCAAWATGGGATATAAGGCAGCATTACTCTAAATATCATCTTTTTTTTTTGCCTCAGGACCCCTCCCACCACCACCTCCAATAAACAGAAATGGCAGCACATCTCGGGCCCTGCAGGCCACCCCCCAATTGCCGTCCAGGAGTGGAGTTGATAGTCCCAGGGGCGGACCCAGGCCACCTCTTCCTCCTGACAGACCTGGTGCTGGGGCACCTCCCCCACCACCACCTTCAACTTCAATTAGAAATGGCTTCCAAGACTCCTCCTGTGAAGGTGCATGGTGTTTGCGTTAACATTTTTTCATCCACTGTCGTCATCACACTGAAGGGCACTGATGTAACTTACCATTTTAGGGCCCACTACAACTTCACCTTTAAACTAGTAATCCTCCTCTCCCACTTCCCACAAAGGCAGATCATTTTTCTGTAACTTGTTCCTTGCTGGAGTTTCATTTTGATTAACTTTCCAGAGATTCCAGAATTTGGGGGGGGGGCACAACATTTTTGTGGCTTATCGTCTTGTCATCTACATTTCTAAATACTTGGCTATAGGTAAGAGGCCCAGTGGCCTGCAGCTGTTAAGCTGCTTCAGTCTATCATGTTCTCAGAGTGGTCCCTGTTATTCCTGGTCCCACTGTGGGAAGAAGAGTGTCCTATACCTTAGCCCCCAGCTCCTGAAAGGGACTAGCTGGATCCTAATCACCCTAGTTTTTTGTTTGTTTTGTTTTTGGTGCTGGAGATTGAACTCAGGGATACTCTATGACTGAGCTGCTTCCCCAACCCTTTTTATTTTTTATTTTGATATAGRATCTCACTAAGTTGCTGAGACTGGCCTCAGACTTGAAGTCTTGCCTCAGCCTCCCAGTTGCTGAGCTTACAAGCATGCATCACATCATCACCCTAAACACCCTAGTTAAATTCTTTTTGTGGTTCCCTCTCCAGCACTGGAAAAAAAAAAGCACTGATTTGCAGGCCAATATGTTTTATCAGTGTGCTAATCAAGRACATTTGTAAATTTCTAGGCATAAAACTAGAACTGACTTCTGCAGTTCTCTCTATGGTTCGTCTGTGCCTTTCATTACGTAAGCCTGTAGCAGATTGTCTGTTGCTGAAGATACTGTKTGTTTCTTCCCCAGATGAGTGGGAAAGCAGATTCTACTTCCATCCGATTTCTGAWTTGCCACCTCCAGAGCCATATGTACCAACGACCAAAACGTATCCCAGTAAATTGGCAAGAAGTGAAAGCCGGAGTGAGTATTTCTGCCAACTTTTGGCAAATTCATACTTGAATAGCCCGGGTTATGCGTGGCATTATGTAGGAAGTCCAGGCCTCTGACCTGGAGAATGTGATTCCGAGTTCTCTAAATCCTGGTAAACTCCCCTTGCACGAGCAGTGAGGAGGCTGTAGATATTTAGAAAGGGGATGAGGGATAATTATTATTATGTGTCATGGGGAGCTCAGAGACCTTTGGTTTGTCAGGATTAAATGCTACTATTTGGCC